GTCCGTAGTCTCTGCCTACCCCTCTGGGTGATAGGCGTGACTGTTTATGTATTTAAAACTGAGGAGATACGACAAGGAGTTCTTTTTAGCGGTAAACGCGCACACTTGTGTTTTCTGGGGATCAAAGTGGACTAGATTTAGTCGCCCCCAAGCCGAATTTGCCATAGTTACAATCACGGAGCAAATACAAAGAGGTGTTGTAATTAGATTGCACTATGTAACAACGCGTGACAATTTGCGGGGTGTGGGGGTGTTAAGCCTCGCCCATTTAACTATTTTCCGTCTACCGATAAATAGTAAAACTACTCGCATCATTCCATATCGATGTTGCAATGTAGTTTAGCTACCTTGACGATAGATGACGGCCTGTTCACAAAATGATTATAAAAACTATAAAAATAATATTTTGGCGATTAAAAATTCTTTAGGTCTGAATGCAAAACAAATTTCAGCACCTTCGTAGGATTATTTACCAGTACTGGGCTCTAATGTACCTTTATATTTTTAGTTCCCATGACACAAAGTGTCGCCATCTAGTGTCGAATATATTTTATTATATTTGAAAGCCGACGAAGAGATTTTTCTAGAACTAAGTTAGGATAAAATTATTTAAAAATGAAATATGAGACCATCCATAGCATCAGAGCGTCTGAGTAGTTTTCACACGACAAAACACAACACTTCATCCTTTACTTCTTAATACTACGAAAATACACAGACTTGGGTACAGGACGAACGCTGACAGTATACTAACTAAAGCCACACCTACTGTGATGACGTCAGGACCTACGAGGGTGGATTGAAAAGTACTCGGCCTAACCAAGAAAATAAACAAATACTAAATCAGTTATATTTTTATTTTTCTACATAATCACCATCAAGTTCAATACACTTTTGCCACCTCCCTTTCCAAGCATTTAGACCGTTGAAAAAAAATGATTCTTCCTTAGAGTCAAAATATGCGTCTACAGCTGCTTTGACCTCGTCGTTTGTCGAAAATCTTTGACCTCCCAAGTGCTTTTTTAGGTTAGGGAACAAAAAGAAGTCTGATGGTGCCAGATCAGGTGAATACGGCGGATGCGGTAACAGTTCAAAGCCACAGTTGTGAATTTCAGCCATTGACTGTACTGACGTGTGAACACGGGCGTTTTCTTGATGAAACAGGACTTTTCTTCTGAGCATTCCTCGACGTTTTTATTTTATTTCCTCTCGTAAACGACGTAGTAAGGTGCAGTAGTAATCAGAGTTTATATTCTGACCCCTTTCAAGATAATCAATCATAATCACACCTTTCGAGTCCCAGAATACTGAAGCCATCACCTTATTTGCCGACAAAATCGACTTAGCCTTTTTAGGGGGTGGTGAACCAGGTACTTCTCCACTGTTTTGATTGTTGTTTTGTTTCCGGTGTACAGTAATGAACCCATGTTTCGTCCATAGTAACAAAACGATTCAAAAAATCATCTGCATCGGCTTCAAATAACTCCAAACAGTCGCGTGAAATAGTCAATCGCGTCCTTTTTTGTTCAACTGAAAGCAGTCGCGGAACCCACCTCGCAGACACCTTGTGGAAACCCAACTCGTTGACAATGATGTTTTGAGTTCGTTCATAAGAGATGCCTATAATCTCGGCTATCTCTCTAATTTTTAATCTGCGGTCTCCCATTATTAAATCAAGTACTTTTTTAATATTTTCGTCAGTAGTTGACGTCGAAGGCCTTCCAGAGCGGGGTTCATCTTTCACACTCTCTCTACCACGCTTAAATTCTGCTATCCATTTTTTGACGGATGAATATGATAGAGCACAATCGCCTAATGTACTGACTATGTCATCATGGATGGCTTTTGATGATAGCCCCTTCTTATGGAGGTACTTAATGACGGCACGCTGCTCGATTTGCTCCATTCGCGGAAATTATGTCCGATTACTTTGTTAATAAATTTATAAAATCACAACTAATTATCGCACACGTTTCGAACTTCACACAATGAACTAGTCTGAACTGAACTAAATAATGTGGGTAGATTTGATTTTTAGAATTGAATGGATCTGTGTTAGGCCGAGTACTTTTCATTCCACCCTCGTAGTTAGAATCACAGTGCAAAATTGCTTAGGCCTTCTCCTCTTTGTATTTGCTCCGTGGTTGCAATGCTCAGCAGGCAGGTTGGCAATCGTGGCTTATTCATTGAGTTGTTATCCGGAAGGCGCTGTTTCCTGTCTCCTATTGGTTTTCCCTCTATCACCTCTAACGACACCCACAGAATGATAAGACTGGTGAATGCTTCATTTCGTTATCGACTGAAATTGCACAGAAATATGAAAAAAAATAATTAAAACGAACAGCGCGCCTAGCAGACTTAAATAGAAATATGTTTTATGATATAAAGTTACTCGATGAGGATGCGAATGCGATACGATAGAAAATTCATGTTCAGGGGTCAGGTACACAAAACCAGTTTGTTATTCATCATTATATCTCTTAAAAATAATTACTAGTAATAATAATACTGATATGGGGCATATTAGCTTCTACTAAACTCTATAATATTTGTTGTTCTAGGACCTGGAGCTAGGAATCTAGGATTTTTAGTTTCGCTGTCTATATTTCTACTGCTACTGTACTTGAAGAAAAAATAACATGAATTAAATATATTTAAAAAAAAAGAAACAATTTTATCAAAAATATATTTTAATAATATACATAAAACATTAGACATGAATAATTTATTAAGTTTTGTTAAGAAATACACAAATAAAATATGTACATTATGTATATTTTATAAGCTCAATTTACAGCACGCCTACTACCTACCTACTTCGTTCAACCACGTTGGTTTTTAATATGAAACTGCTCATTGCTTAGAGCTACGTAAAGGAACGACAGCGCTCCTTTCCTTTCTTTACGGCTTATTGAAACTCCACAGCTGAACATAGGCCTACCCCATAGATACTTGGTCACGTTTGGCAACTTTTGTTTTTGATTGTTATCATAAAAAAGCTGCTGCCTATCTACTGTTTATTTTTCCTCTATCGCCCTTTACGACACCCAGGGGAATATGAGGTAGTAAATTCTCCTTCGCCGCTACTTCACGTTGCACGGCACAGAGTGACTCTAGCCGCCGCTTATATTGAGCGATATTTTTTTTGTGCATGCGACCGTACCATAGATGTTTTATACCTTTATTTATTTTGGCAACTTCTATTCACGATATGATATCAGCAGACCTATTCACTGAGTGTACATCAAAATGATAGTAATTTTGTAGTACATTGCGTCGTATGTTTCATGAGTCGCGATAACTCTTATAGAAGTTATATAGAATACGCAATGTACAACAAAGTAACTATCTTATAAAGTAATTATCTCGCTCCACACTAAATCTATCGTGAATTTGGTTACTTAGTAGTAGAACGCTTGCTTTCGCTTTAATGGGATAACGCTATGTGCGGTTAATGCGTACAAAATAAGCGTGTACTACGAAAACTAACGTGCGGCTAGACGCACGGGGACAGGCAATGCCTATGATTTCTTATTTATTCTTAACGGATAAAATAAAAATTAATTGTTATTCATTATTCAAAAATCACACCAAAAAAAATAGATCACACCTCACAATGCATTATCATAAAGGTAAGTAATTTTAGACTTAAATTAATGTAATAAAGATTTTTGATTTGATTCCATTTTTTTTTGAAGTAATCTAGCATTAATTTATTGCAGTAATACACAATTCCAAATCGCCGATTAAATACCTAAATATCTTTATGACATGAAAGTAACAATGAGGATTTTTATAGATACGTATAAACATAATATCCAAAATGTAATGTTCTTTTTTTATCTAAGGAACATCATTATAAAAGAGCTTTTAGAGATTATATAAAAAGTAAAGCTATGTAGGTTACGGGATCATTTGGGTACAGGCCTCCTCTCAATTGTGAGAGAATAATTTAACCCTCTTTTAACCCCAAGCTTGCGTATGGATATTATCTACCGGAAAACAGAACGGTTTCCGAATGGAATCCTCGCACGTCACATTGTTGTGACACAACACTGTGTAAAAACAATGTGATTTACTAAAGCTTGAGCATATTTATCACAAACCTTCCAGAGTCCTGACACATGTGTAAAGAAACCGAAAAGAGACAAAGCTGCTTTTAAGGAGCTGTTAAAACTTTTACCTATTTTTATTTGGCAGGGTCAGGAGGATAATATTTAATGCACAAAACATTTAGCTTTGAGGATGATTTACTATGAAGGAATATTTTTCTTACAAATTACTTACTCTAAATACTTTATATTTTCATATTTTAAATGTAATATAGTTTCTTTCAAAGATAATATAATAGAAAGCACTCACATGGTATATACAAGTTACACGTTTTAATATATCAAAATATTTTATTAATTCGTTTAAATAATATACTTTCTATTGTACATACACACAGAATAATAAACCATGTTTACACTTTTTCTATTATAACAGTATTATTCTTCATTCATTTCTATTATTGAATCAAAACGTGAAAAAAAAACCAAATACGACGCGCGAAGTGTACACCCTGAGCTTGAGCACTTTCCGAGCCGGTTTATACCGGTTCCTCTCTGTACGCGACGAGCCGCCAGTGCTCACGCACACACGCGCCTCCAGCTTGTAGTAGTGTACCTATCATAACACGGTTTTATGACGCTTTATCTCTGTTCGGTTTCTTTACTCATGTGGTCCTGATAACGTGGCCCTACTATGCAGACCTAAGGACAATAAAATGGATATTTTTCAAGCAAGAGTAATTTCATTGTTTAAAAACTTTTATACAAGTTAACCCTGTGTGGTAGATTATAACCCATGAAAAGCAGTTTAAAGATAATTTAAATTACATTAAATATAAAATTTGTAAATAATAATTTTTTACATTTATTTTCACTTCAACTCGACGATGGTCGGTGGGGTGGCGACGTACGACCAGGTGTTGGAAAAAACAGAGGCAGCTGGTTTTGTCACACTTGTTCAATCATTGGAAATTGCTCAAGACTGTCTGATGGAGGAACAGTTTCGGCGTCAAAAAAGCTAGCGTGGAGCGCAACTACTGTAACCGTTGCACCTGAAATTATAAAATTAATTTTGTTGTAAATTTGCCAAACATGACGTTATAACAATTTCTCTCAACTTGGGAGAGGTATTTCTAGCTGTTTATGATATTTTATTACCACGGATATGGCTTATTGCACATAATAGCAAATGATTCATGTAAGGAACTGATAAAATACCTAGTGTATTTACGATAGAACTACATATAACTATTTTTAAAAATATTAAAGTTTACACATAGTTCCAAAATGGCTCACTTTCATTCAACGTTACGAAACTGCTGAAATGGGCAATTGTTTTAGTCGATATCAGTTACTATAAGAAACACACTGTAGCGTCATACTTTCCGCCGATAAAAACTGATTTAATTTCCAATAACAAAACATTCAAGGTTATAATTTGGTTATACTTCGCTTATTTTGATAACGGAAATCGTAACTATTTCTTTATCAAAATGGTATATTAATATTGTTGAAACTTCGCTTGTATTGATAACAGAATTCGTAACGTCTTTTCAATATCGCTGCATTTTACTTCTAACCACTATCTATTGCATTATATATCAAAAGTGTATATTTTTACAATAAGTATCCACTTTCGTCAAAACTCCATACAAATAAGACTTATATGGTCACGTATGAGGTTCAAGAGAGAATTCCTTAAAGCCTTGGTTTAACGCCAATTTGCTCTTAAACTGCAATAAGACAAAATGTATTAAATTTACAATACCTAATGTAAAACATTCGAAAACCAATGTGCTCTTAAATGGGGAGGAGTTGAGTCTTGTGGATACCACTGTTTTTCTTGGTTTTACTATTGACGCGAAACTTCAATGGGGCCCCCATATATCTAAATTAGCAAGCAGACTTTAGTTCTGTAGCATATGCTGTAAGAAAGATTAGATGTCTCACACATGTTGAGACAGCTAGGTTAGTGTATTTTAGATACTTTCATAGCGTAATGTCTTATGGAATTTTGCTATGGGGTAATGCGCCTGATATTGAAGCTATATTTGTTTTGCAAAAGAGAGCTGTACGGGCGATTTATAACCTAAATTGTAAAGTCCCTCAGAGAAAAATTTAAAGAAATAAACATAGTAACTTTGGCATCGCAATATATTTATGAAAATGTATTGTATGTACATAAAAACATAAATAGCTTTAATAAGAATAAGGATATGCATACTTTAAACACTAGGAACAAACATAAGCTTTACTACTATTTTTTACTACTACTTACTTTTACTTACTAGTTACTACTTTTTACTAGACTCCACAGAATCAGTAATTCATTTATGGGGCAATGTATACGCTTTTACAACAAAATCCCAGTACATATTCAAAGTTTGTCAATAAACAAGTTTAAAAGTTTTATTAAAGAAAAACTGTACAAAAAGGGTTATTATAATATCAAGGAATACGTGAATGAAAATAACCCATGGGAATAAGGTGATCGCCACCATGCTGGTTCTATAAAAATTCATTTAAAATTGTATACAAAATTATTGTTAAGTGAAATTATGTTTGAAAAAAACGTCCCGCTGGGTTTCTTGCTGGTTCTTCCCAGGACAGAGGTATTTTCCGAACCAGTGGTAAATAAAATAATGACTTTCAATAAGTATTATGTAATAATCCATATTGAATAAAAATCATTCTATTCTATTCTATCCTGTTACACTGTCCCTTTGTACCCATAAAATCTGCAGTACTGTTTAGGTACAGAAATAGTGAAAAAATGTCGCTTATCCAGATGGTTTCCTGGAGTTACTGTATAGTTAAAGTTAAGTTAATATAAATATTAATCCAAATTTAACCTGATTTTATAATATTTAATTATGCATTACTTTTTATACTTACCCAGTACCCAAAATAAAACAGCACCAGCGCCAGCCAGCCAACACAATGTCATAGAGCCACCAGCATACACGGCATATTGTTGGGTTTTTGTTAGTTCCCAGCTACCCACCTAGAAAAAGTAAAGAAATAAATAAAAGTTAAAGTCACATTTTGTTTGTTTTTTTTTTAACTAAATTATATACTAACGAATAGTGTTGCTACATTTATCAGCGTTATTTATCCCCATTATTTGAATTGTAAGTTGAGCGAAGGACAAAAAGAGTGTATATAACCTTGGTTGAGTTATCATCACTTTAGTTATCCAGTCTTCTTAGCCAGCACACTTCCTATTTTTCACCCAACTATCTCAGACGAAGGGTAATGTTTTTCGAATGTATATATTAGTATGTGTATGTCTATTTTTTTACAACAATCTGTAGCCTAAACGGCTTGGTGGAATTTGACAAATGGGGGTAATCATTGGGTTCATATTAGTTGTGGAAGTGAAATTTTTATGCATACGGGTTTTTTAATTACTGTTTTAACCATTGCGCTTGTTTTATAAAAAACAATCTCTATTTAACAGTGTTAATGGGGGACTTCAACGCAAAACTAGGTATAAGAGAAAACCGTGAACTGAAAGTAGAGAAATTCAGGATAGGACAACGGAACTGAAGAGGCCGACTTTATTGAGAAAGAGGGACTCTTTATGATGAACTCTTTCTTCCAGAAGCAGCCCCACAAAAAGTGGACCTGGTCGAGCCCCGACGGTTCGACAAAAAACTAGATTGACTTTATTGTAACGACCAGACAACTGTTCAGTGATGTATCAGTGATCGCGAGGGTGAAAACTGGCAGCGATCACCGAATGGTGGGAGGCACACTGAACTTAAACGTTAAGTTGGGGAGGTCACGTCTAATGAAGTCAATGAAGTAAACTTTCAGCGCGAACTTCAAAATCGTTTTCAGTGCCTAGAACCCTGCAATGAAGTGAACGATAAGCATGATAAGCTCGTGGAAACTGTCCATGCGGTCAGAACTAAGTTCTGCAAGACCAGTAGCAGAAGAACACAAAAACTGTCCTATCACACTCTTAATCCCATGGCTGTTAGATGGGAAATGAAACTACAGTCTTCGGCAGATTTGACAGCATACAGGCAACTGAACAGACAGATCTCCATATGCATGCTGCGAGACTTACGCAACTTTAATATAGCTTGTATGGAAGGAGCGATCGAGCGGAACCCGGGCTTCAAAGTCTTTGCCAGAGATGTGTCTGCCAGAGAGAGCCAACTGTCGAAGTTGAAGACCGAATGTGGCAGCATCATTTCCAGGACACCTGAGATTTTGAGTGAGATTGAGAGGTTCTATGGGCAGCTGTATGCTACACATCATCGTTGGAGCCACACGCAAGTGTGAGTAACGATCCAAGAGTAAGTCTTATCCGACACTATTCCGATGATGTCGAGGATTAATCTATGTGAGCGAGATTAGAATGGCTCTACAGCATTTTAAAAACGGCAAGTCCCCGGGCGAGGATGCAATTACAGCGGAGTTTCTGAAAGCGGGTGGAAAACCGGTACTTGAAGTCCTTCAGAAGCTCTTTAATTGGCATGTGGCACTACTCCGGGGGCGTGGGGCAGAAGTGCGGTGGTTTTGTTCTACAAATTCTTGAAGAACTACAGACCGATTTCCCTTCTAAGCCGCGTCTACGTGCTGTTTTCGAGAGTCACTTCGAATCGCACGTAGACTCGACGACTTCCAGCCTCCCAAAGAAGACAGTTTCCGAAAAGGCTTTAGCACCATAGACCACATACATATCCTCCGGCAAATTGTACAGAAGACCGAAGAGTACAATCTGCCACGTATGTGGACTATGAGAAAGCCTTTGATTCCGTCGAAATTTGGGCGGTGCTGCAGTCTCTTCAGCGGTGCCATGTTGGCTATCGGTATATCGAAGTGCTGAAGTGTTTATGGTTACGACGGCTATCCAAGTACAGAACCAGAGTAAGAAACTTATCCGAGTGCAGAGAGGTGTAAAACATGGTGACGTAATATCCCCGAAACTCTTCACCGCTGCATTGGAAGACGTTTTCAAGCGATTCGACTGGAAAGAATACGGTATTAATGTGTGATGGCTAAGAACAGATTCTCGAGTGGCAGCCCCATACCGGCAGGCCAAGTGTAGGGCATCCCCATAGTAGATGGAGTGAAGACCTGGTAAGACATGCAGGGAGTCAAGGCTCGGGAAGCCTACGTTGAAGGGCAGTAATGATGGAAGATGATTATGATTTAATATATCTATATTATTATCTATATCTAAATTAGCAAGCAGACTTAGTTCTGCAGCATATGCTGTAAGAAAGATTAGAAGTCTCACAAATGTTGAGACAGCTAGATTAGTGTATTTTAGTTACTTTCATAGCGTAATGTCTTATGGAATTTTGCTATGGGGTAATGCGCCTGATATTGAAGCTATATTTGTTTTGCAAAAGAGAGCCGTACGGACGATTTATAATCTAAATTGTAAATTCCCTTAGAGAAAATTTTAAAGAAATAAACATATTAACTTTGGCATCGCAATATATTTATGAAAATGTATGTACATAAAAACATAAATAGCTTTAATAAGAATGAGGATGTGCTTACATTAAACACTAGGAATAAACATAAGCTTTACTACTATTTTTTACTACTACTTACTTTTACTTACTAGTTACTACTTTTTACTAGACTCCACAGAATCAGTAATTCATTTATGGGGCAATATATACGCTTTTACAACAAAATCCCAGAACATATTCAAAGTTTGTCAATAAACAAGTTTAAAAGTTTTATTAAAGAAAAACTGTACAAAAGGGGTTATTATAATATCAAGGAATACATGAATGAAAATAGCCCCTGGCAATAAGGTGATCGCCACCATGCTGGTTCTATGAAAAATCATTTAAAAATTGTATAAACGAAATTATTGTTAAGTGAAATATGTTTGAAAAAAAAGTCCCGCTGGGTTTCTTGCTGGTTCTCCCCAGGACAGAGGTATTCTCCGAACCAGTGGCAAATAAAAATGAATTTCAATAAGTATTACGTAATAATCAATATTGAATAAAAAAAAGTGGAAAATTTTACCTTCCAAGTATTAGGACCAGACATCAATTTTCTGTATCCAAAAAAACTGGCTACTATCGCAATCAATAAAAGAGGGGAAGTTATTCTGTAATAAAACAAAGCTTAAATTATTTATGAAAACAATAATTGAGAATAATAGTGATCTGAAATTACTTACAAACAATATGCAAAGAGCCCTAGAAATACCACTAAGTAATTGGCTTGGAAATACTCAATGTTCCTGTAGAACCGTCGCGAAAGACGCGGAATAGAGGCGGGTACCTATAAAATAGAAAACTGCAGTTAATTCATTTTTTAATTTGTAAGATAATGTATTATAAGTGTTTAGACAAATTTAAATATGCACATAAAGTTACAGAAACATGCCACAAATCGCCAAAGGACACACATTTCTAACAAGGCTAATGCTGATGCCATTGGAATAAAAACATTCTAATTTTAGTAAAGAAGGCTGGGTACCACCAGCTGCTTGGGATTCTGTTATCATTAAACTTAAACCCAAATATTCCACTACAAATTTAAACATACAATAACAATAAACTCATTCTGCATAGATCTAAAGTAATTATTAAAAATTGAAGGTAGGAATGACTATGAATGATCTAGTTTGAATCGTTCGAATTCATAAATCATTTAACGCATACAAATTACTGACACAAAATAGTAGCTACTATTAATGACAAATGAAAATAGTTTGTCTGTAGTTGATTCGTCGACTGCTTGCTTTCGATGAATCTTGCCTTGGAAGTTACTTTAACTTGAAGTTTTTTTCAATTTTGCCTTATAAACAGTTATTCTGAGTAGTCATCGTAAACGTTTAAAGTCCCAATCTGGTAAATGTTATCAAAGATTATGGCTTCGGTTGAAGATAGTATACCTATTAATATTAAACATTTTTGGAAATATATTTCTAATCGAAAAGGTAAATACAATTTTCCTGCTAACATGTATCTTAAAGACGTCAATTCTAATAATCCCACGGAAATAAGTAATTTGTATTCTGCATTCTTCACTTCTGTTTATGAACCGTATACCGTAGATCCTACTCATTGGCAACCTTCTAATAACTTTGCTGATAACTCTTCTTGTATATGCGACATATATTTTACAAAAGAGGATATTAGTTGCGCCTTAAAGAATTTACATTTGAATAAAGGACCCCGTACCGACGGCTTACCTGCAGTTTTTCTTAAAAAAAAACTGCAGACTACCTCAAATTTCCACTTCATAATTTAAAAAATGTGTTCGTGAAGGCATTTTTGCAAATATTTGGAAACGTGCTTTCATTAATCCGTATTATATATATATGTATAAAAGTTGCGATAAAAATAATATTGAGAACTATAGAACCTTGTCAAAGCTTTTTCAAAGGTTAGTACATAATACTTTATATCCAATAATTCATCATCTTATTATATCTGAACAACATGGATTTGTTCAATGCCGTTCTACTACTACTAATCTATTAACATTTACAAACTTTTTATACGAGAACATGGATAACAAAGTTCAAACTGATGTTGTATACATTACTTATGGATAAAATTGATTTAATGGAATTTGTGGTAATCTATTGCGTTGGTTCATATCTTATATTTTTAACAGAACTCAGAAGGTTGTTATAAATGGTTACGAATCTAACTCTATTGTTGTCACTTCTGGTGTACCTCAAGGATCGATTTTGGGCCCCCTGCTCATTATTTTATTCATAAATGACGTCTGTTTCAACAATTCTCATTTTTTAATGTACACTGATTATATTAAAAATTATATTGACTGATTACATTCAATTATAAGCCAAAACATTCACGACTGCTCACTTCTTCAAATAGATCTTGACAGATTTTCTTAGTACTGTTTAGATAATAAGCTTCACATAATTCTGTCGAAGTGTAATGTGATATTTTTTACAAAGAACAAAAAACCTTTTAAATTTAATTATGGTATCAATTGCAAAATTTAACATAGAGACCTTGGTTTAATACTGGACTCGAAATTACATTTAGATTACCATATTGATTACATAATCCAAAGAATTTAAACGACCATCTACTTTCTTAATTCTATACAAAACACTCATTCATTCACAATTAGAATACGCTGTACCAATCTGGATTCCCTTGTACAAAAAATATAATTATAAATTGGAAATGGTCCAACAGAAATTTTTACGCAACATCTATTATAAATTTTACCATTCCAGAATTCCATATGTACAACTGTAGTCATATCAACAATAAGTTATGTTATATTGTACTGAGAACTGTAATTGGCGCGCAGTGCGAGCACCTCGGTTGTTTTACACCATGTAAAACAAACGCTGGAGCGTGGGCACCCCTCCGTCGCCTCTTAGATAATTATAATACACACTTCACAGAATGTTATATTTTTGCTCTCTCATCTTTAAAGTTTAAAAGAATGATAATAAACTACTAACTGGCTATAATAATCTATAATTACGTAACAATTAGCATAATTACGTACACTCTCATAAATTGCACAATTGTATTAAACACAAGACATATAAGACTAAGCATATAATATTACTTTGTGGGCATCCGTGTGGATTACACGTTAAGTACTCGTTTATAAATTCATTGTCTTGTGTAACAATAATTTGTAACTGTTTTTTGTCCCAATAAAAAAAGTACGAAAATGGGCACTTTACAATTATTTTCAACTTGTAAAAACAAAATACCCTGAATACTTTTGTTATTTAAATGACAAAAATATTTGAATAGTGTTCATAGTAAGGGTAGTAAGAAAAAAATTACACCGATCATTACCAATCTTCACTGTCATGGTGCATGGTATGAGCCCCTGAATTATCTATATTTGCACCATAATTATAGCAAGTATGCCAACATCATGTCAAATATCCAGTAAAAAGGGTCTCCAGTTCTCTACTCCTCACCATACGAAACACAACAGCATTAAGCTGCTATTTTGGTATTCTGTGAGAGTGTGGTCCTACCCCGGTTGTGCTGACCCATACGTGCTACAACCATAATGCGCATAAGCTTGACTCTACCACGTAGTATACACATCCTTTCTCTGGATTCACAGACATTAGTTGTTACTAAAATTCAACTCGAAAATGTATATTAGAAGTTGTAGATTATTCTAATGACCAGAATATTTGCAGTCACCCATTGTTAGCTGCAAATCATACAAAATGTTTTTCGGAGTTAAAGATAAAACTATAGACATCTGTTACTCGCGTACATGGGTGGGAGGGGTGTGGGGGGAGGGTTCAAGGGAAGCCCCCTCTATCCTTCCCTTTTGTGTAAATGTATAGTTTATGAGAATTTTTTTTTTGTATAATCTTAACCTTACTTTTTTACACAGGATTATTGCGTCAAAGTTACTTCTGCAACGGCTTCGGCCCTGCAGGAAGTGCAGTCCCTTCGCCCTTGCGTAGCAAATCACAGACACCCATGCTTAACTCCGCAGCTTCAGCTTAATGGTCACCTTCAGCAACCAGCCTCAGCCGCTACGGCTCTCACAGGTGCCTGTGAATTGCTACAGCGGGCGGGTGCTGCTCTCCCTCTGCGCTTACGGCTTTACAAAAACTCTAGGGGTAGGGCAGAAAAGACTATGTATGTACTGTAGAGTTGGGGCGTGCTGATTCAGTTTCTAGTACAGATTCGACCTATCTTATCTATAAAGTCAGGTTGTCCTAAACTCTGCCATGATGGTGGTAAATGAAAAACAATGTAATGTGAATTGTTATAATTTTTGTTTTCTGAAAAACCTCTTGACTGCTCTCCACTGTGACTTAATTCATTGTGTATGAGTCCCATCTTCAGCCACAGGTGGATTGTCTGGGTCCGAGTAATTAGCTTTTTTATGGGTGATCCATTTTGTTATATGCAATTTTTAGTTAGTGGAATTTATTTTTATCGTAATTAATTCAAAACACATTTCCAAAATCCAAAAACAGTATATAGGTTCGTTAACCCTGACAAACGTCCTAAACTGAAAACATAATTAAAATCAATTATTGGACGTCTACTTCATAACACAAAACTAAATTGACATATTTGCATTTCTTTATATATGCAATTTTTGGTGAAATTTATTTTTATTGTAATTAATACAAAACAAATTTCCGACATCAGAAAACCGTGGTAAAAGGTTCAAATTTTACCCTGACAAGCCTCCTAAACTGAAAACATAAATAAAATCAAGTACCAGACGTCTATAGCCAACCCGAGTCAAACATAAATTCTTACCTTGAAGTATTGTGAAATTGGTCCATGAAAGTTCCACATTAAAATTAGTTCAGTATCAAAATTAAATTAAGCTAAATAATAGTTTTTGACAGTTCGAGGCACAGAGTATTATTTTCCCAAGTTAGAATATAGAAGAACTGTCATTGTCAACAGTCACATTTACAAAGATTCAACAATAAAACAAATTTATTTTTTCTTTTACCTTAAAATTTTCAGTAGCAACAAACTGAGTCCATGGTCGTCTGTTGGACAACACTCCCAGTACCAGTGCAGGTGCAGCACCATTGCGGACATGCTGCAGCAATCTGTAATATAATTTAAAAAAAAAGAAAAAAGGCAAATATGTTTAAGTTAGTTTAAGTGTTGACTAAAAGTCCACAGCTGGACATGGACCCATTTCAGCTGTGGACTTTTAGTCATCACTTTTTTTTGTTGTAGGATAAGGGTGACAAACAAGCATACAGTCCACTTGATGGTAAGTGGTTGCTGTAGCCCATAGACATCTACATCTATCCTCGATTACAAATAAAAATGCAGATGCGTCGTCACCCGTGAGGACTAAGATGAAATGCCTCGGTTCCAGTAAAAAGGGTCTCCGGTTTTCTACACTCACCATACGAAACACAGCAGCGTTAAGCTGCTATTTACACTGGTATTCTGTGAGAGCGTAGTTCTTCCCCGGTCGAACCGACCCATTCGTGCTACAACTATACCAAAAATATAGCTGCAGCATGGCTCTACCACATACAAGTACTCTCCCATTGTATAATAGATTTGGTTTAATCATCACACTTGCCAAGCAGATAGACAATAAATACACATAACACATATACTTAATTATGTGTTAAAGGGTGTATTTGCTTACTACTTTGCAGACAGATTGATGATTCCAGAACTAAAATTCTAGCACCTTTGACTTTAGCCTTTTCTATAGCTGATGGCATTTACATCTTCTTCATCAGCCCATAAAGGTACACGGTAAGACATAGAGCTATACCTTTGTAGGGAGATCACAGTATAAGTAACTTATGTAAATGTTCCTTGATGTGTTTTAACTACGTTATTATATTGTGTAGTATGGACTATCCTGTGTAATACTGCAGCTATAACCGCATAAAATACGAGTATTCTATTTTGTTATTTACTATAACTTACAATTCCACTTCACTCACATACTTTTGGAAACCTTTCTTGTCGGTGGTAGTATTCATCTCCCCTGACAAGTCGATATTAACGTTTTCCGACATTATTTAATATTTATTAAATTTATAGCAGCAAAACCCAACAAATGAATAAATTCAACAAACACAATTCCTTTCCGCTTTTTATTTTGTAGTTGTTTTGTTGACAGTTTGTGTTTGTGATGACGACACGATAGTCAGTGTGACCATCTTTAAAATACAGATCCTGCCACACTTTGGTTATAAACCTGCCAAATCCTGCCAAAATCTGTAATGAAAAATGCCTAAATACTGCCAACTTTATTTAACATTGTATTAAACTAATAAAAGTCAAAATACACATATAAATGCTGTATTTTTTAAATTAAAATTAAACATATCTTTCGTTGGTTCGAATGCAATGCAATCGCCATGCTCGTTTAACGTACAAGATATACGCTACATGTTAGTTTATAAATCTGTTTCGTGTTTTTGTCTTAATTAAATTTATTTTAGAGAATATTCTTTCGCATGCTGAATCCACTCATATTTTGTTGATGTTTACTAGTCAAATTGCAGTTACACAGTCTGGATCATCTTTAGCTTTTGAGATCCATGATGGAAATAAAAGATCTTGCTTCCACTTCGCTCTAAACGCCCTGTCTTATTTTCGCTTCATCACCGCCACCTATGGTGATAATGAAATCTAATTCTATACCAAACTAAAGTACGTCTCTTTTATGACTGATTGAAATATTAACCAACTCGTGTTAAGATTATCAACTTTATACACAATTTTTTTTAAAGTTGTTTATTGAAAGTGATACAAGCATAATACGAGAAACCGAGAAATACAGGGAAATCCCCAACATGCTGGCGAAGTATCTAGGGGTTACCATTTTCATCATTTTAAGTTGCCATGATGAAATATATCTTTAATACCCCAATACTGCCAAATACTGCCAGGTTTTATAAAACGTCAACCGATCATGCCACAGGCTAAAATAAGAGGCCAATCCTGCCAAAATGGCAGGAACCTGCCACATATGGTCACACTGACGATAGTGTTTCTATCCATGCTATTGTATCTTCTAAGGCCGGCTACGACTACATACATACGGAATTCCGTTTCGGGTTTCCGTTTCGATATTCCGATTCGGGATTCCATACGCAGCATGTCCATATAAGGCTGCCCACATACATACGGAATTCCGTTTCGTGATTCCGTTTCGGAATCCTCATAGATTTTATATGGACTTGCTGCGTTCGGAATCCCGAATCGGAATATCGAAACGGAATCCCGAAACGGAATTCCGTATGTATGTGGCCGGCCTAAAATCTATGACCCGTCAGACACGTACGTTATTTTTCCGTACGGAATTTCTCCGATTGATAGATTTTGTACGAGTCACAACACACATACGTAAATTCCGTATGGAATGCGCTCAGTGTTCGTCGCACGACCGAAGCGAGTAGATGTGTTTATGTATGTTTTTACATTTAATCATGTAGGTGTATAGCTTTTCGTAACCTTTCATCTTATTAACTTCCTTCTGCGTAGCATTGAAAGAAAGTTAATGGTTTTAGCTGGCAGTCTGTTAGTCTGCATGCCGACATGACAACTTCTGTTCCACTGGACCGATTGATTTTAAATTTGGTATGTAGATATTTTGAGGTAGTAGCTCGGTCAAGTTTGAATTTGAGTCCTGTAGGTCAAAGGGCACCAGAGATATGGGATTCACGCAGAAGGAAGTTGTTTTCCTTGAATTTACATTCAACTCGTTTTATTTAATAATTCGTCGAAAGAATGTACATACATAAATATATAAAAAATATCTCTGGATAGATAGATCTTTATACATAGTATTGACTATATTGCAAGCTTAGGGTGATAAGGGGATGCACCTAGTAAGAATGATACAGCAACAATGGAATCGCAATTAGAAAATCGTCGTTATTATTTGCTGGCAGTATGTCTAGACTCAAGGCTAATGTCTCTCAACTGACCCTTCTTATTCCGAACGGAAAAAAAAACGTGATCGGGATTCCGAAACGGTATCACGAAACGGAATTCCGTATGTATGTGGCCGGCCTAAGGAATATCCCTGTTGGTTAAACTACCGCCATCTAGTCATTGATTTATGAAACACTTAATACTTTTTTATTTATAGCGGCTCTGGAATCTTGCATTTTTAGCTTTACGTAAATCAATCAAGATTGTGTGGCCACCACAAAAAAATCAAGCATAATCAGTAATCATTCTATTGATAGGTATAAAGGAAATTGTAAAAAGGAAATCATGTTTTATTAAGCAAATTATTGTTATACGTTGTTGCATATAACCACTTAACCGTCCACCCCGCGCGAGTGATTAACGCCTGACCTGTCCGAGCATTAAATGTCACTATTTTTTACGACCGCGCGAGACAGTCTTAACAAAAACGATTACTACTGAAAAACTACTATAGCTAAATTCAAATAAAAAATGTTCTCAAAAGACTCAAAGAATTCAAAATTTTATTTTGTTAAAAGAAAATTGGTCAAATTAAAAATAAATCCTGAAAATAAAGCTTAAAAGTGGGAATATAAAAAAAAAATCGTATTTACTTTTTATTTCGAGTTTTACAAGAAAAGTGTAATACGTACTGGAGACAATTATTTTATTAGTACATGATATTCCCTTTAAAATGACACCAATATCAATAATATCTTATATACTCAATATACATAAGTATATAATGTTTACCCATTATAAATTTGAATAAATAAATAATTAAATGAATAAAAATAGGTTTTAATAATTTATAGACACATCTTAACAGATATTTCGTTTATAAATTGCTATGAACGTGTTAATAGTGAATCATTATTTTATATTTTGCATTCATTTAAATAGAAAACTGATTAGAATACATTTTAAACAACATATAATCAATAAACGATGATTGCGTATAGTGATTAAAATTTAGAGCTAAATTATTATAAGTAAACGTCTTGGAAATGTTGTAATTATACATATTTACTAAAGAAAATATCTTCACAATTAGTTTGATGTACAATAACATTAGAAATAACGTATAAAATCAGAAAAGTTATCACATTTTTCATCGAATTTCTCACACGTTAACATTCCACAAACAAAAATGGTTAAATTTAATTTTAATTTTTTTTTCTAAATATTTTGTTACTATTATACAGATAATATTCACTTTCACAGACGACAAATTTCATATAGCACCATCTTTTACTGTATTAATAACATACTGTATTAATAACATACTGTATTAATAACAGCTATCTTTTGCACTGTACGCGTTTAAACCGAAAGATGTCGTTTGGTGCCTAGACAGGTAAGGCAATAATGATTTTTGGGGACTGTAGTCACAGTGGACGGTTGAGTGGATATTAACTACATTTAAAAAAAAATTGGTGTTACTAAACTTATTTATTTTTTACCATGAGGTTTATATTAGATGTAGTAATAGTAAGAAATAGAAGTTTTAGCTTCGTTTCATTAGGCAACACTGAAAGAAATTATAAAAAAAAAATATATATATTTGGCCTAAAGGTCTAGATGCCAGGCCATAAACTCCAAAAAAAAAATAAAAAAAATAAAAGAAATATGTCCGTTGTCTTGTGCATGTGGTTATTTCTTGTTATTTCATATTTTTGAGTGTTTTATCGCTATTGCTTATATATTTGCGTCGAGTTATGTATTTGCGTCAAGAATGTGCTTTAAAGTAGACTTTGTAATTGGTGCAGTGACATAAATACAGGGTATTTTTGGAACGCTCCCGAAAACTAAGACAGGCGACAGCACCAAGTATACCTTTGATCATGGGTCATAAATAAATTTGATCCTGATGAAAAAAAAACATATTTTTACAACGTTTTATTAGCTTTATTCACGCGCCATCATGTTAGTACAGCTAAATGAAACGATAATTTCATAAAAAAAATCATGAAAATACTGAAACATAAAACCAGCAGTGGAAACTGAATTGATATCACCTGACTAATGGAGGTTAATGTACGCGCGAACGGTGAAAAAAGAACGCTGGCCTTGAACTTGGGCACTGAGCGATTTATCACATATTGGCCAGTATTACTGTGCCTGCATGCTATTGGTTCCCGCGCTTTGTTCGCTCCAAAAATACAGTCGCATACACAGCTTACTTTGCGACTCGCGACGATGTTTTAAAAAGGAAGGCAAAAAAAATTATTTATATCTATTGTTTTATGACTAAACTAGCGAACGAAAAGGTAAATATGATAGGAGAAGGTGAATGGGGAAAATTGTGCAGTAAAGTTAAAATTGTTGAGGAAGAATACCGAAAAAATTACCATGTGATCGACCTGATGACGGAAGCTCAAGCGAAGATGAAAGTGATGATGAAGTAGCATCCAGTAACACCAACACACCATCAACATCTGGCTTCCATGTGACCCAAGACGTCATAATGGACGGCGTGTCACCCTTAGCTTAAGTTTTTTTGTTACAAACTACTTTATATTTTACGATAGAAATAACAAACAATGCTCAAGTAAACATTATCTATTTTTAATTCCCACCTCTTCCAAAGTTCTAAGTAGCTAGTAAAACACCTATTATGATTCTACAATAAAACAATTAATTACTATAATATTATAAAACAATAGCCCAATACCATGTAGTACTTTAGAACGCGACTGTACCCACACTCACCCCGCTGTCGACCTATTCCCTGTCGCCTCACGCTTGTGACGCAGTTGTGTTTTTGAGACAGTTCCGTGTTGATTTTGTACACGCGTGCGCGAGCGACAGTTCAATCGTTTTGTTTAATAAATTTACTTGTGATTACGTGTTGATATTAAAGTTTTTGTTACGTTTTTGGATTCTTTTTTGTTTAAATAATGCCTAACGCGTACGTTTATAGTGGTCAACATGTTAGGTATCCGAACCTAGGTACACGAAGTATCGCTAAATAAATTGTTAAGACGTCTAGATGGAACAAGTGTGTCATACTGTGCAGTGCACAAAGTGTTGAAGCGTAACCAATGCGCCCATACAAATTGCACAAGAGTTTTCTGCCGTTGGTTATTATACC